TTGTCCGGTCTGACGAACTCTAGTATACTGGGCTGTGAAGACGAAGATAAGTGGTTGGTGTTATGGGAGTGGTGCTGTAGAAGATGAAGATCGTTGTGATGTGAGTATTGGAGACGATGATAGAGTTGGGGATGAGTGTAAACGAGTTGATGACCATAGGGGAGATTGGGTGTATCCGGCGATTCAGGTCTCGGCATTAAACCACAAGATCCTGATGGGTCGCCGTTGGCATATGTGTGCGATTCCTCAACTAAAGTTGACTGGATCATTGCCGACTTCGGAGATCCGGAAACTTTGTTAGAAACTACCGGATTTTCTGTAAAATTGAAGTCAGCCTTCCTACTCAAGTTTGTCTCAGCACCAGGCCAACCATGGAAGCGAAGCAAGCAACAAGGAAGTGCATAGTCTTCGCGAGAGGAAGACAGCAAGAATTCGTACCGAGTAACTAATGGGCTTATCTCTTCGCAACGGCAAAATCCAACACGAAGCCATCCAATTGAGCGAGACTAAAAGAATAGTATAACAAGATGAAGAACACATCTAGGGTGATGAAATGAATATTAAAATATGTAGGTAATATGATATAATAAGCTATTAAGAAATAAATAAGCGGTAAGTCATCCAACTAACTTCGTGAGGCTCAGTAGGCCAAAAATTGTGTACCTCTTCGGAAGAAAGGATAACAATCAACGGCGAATTTTTATCCCATACCATCTTCCAAAAATCGGCTTCAGTTGATATCAAAGGGTGTTGTGTGACTATGAACTCGTCAAGACTATGATAACTGAGCAAGCGGGATGCGTTTATATAATCAGATCCCTCGACACCGGGTTCTCCAGTAAGTTTAACACGCCATGACTCAACTGACAAAAAAGAAGCGTGAAAAAGAGTCTAATTATTATTTATAGGGTCTAAATTTGGAGTCTTGTAATCGTTTGTAAGTATGGTTAATATACGCCATTTAAAAGTAAACAGGTTCACAGAACCCAAAAGTAATAGTGTTCAAAATAATAATAAACCAGCTTGAGTTAATGATATAAGCCATTTAATAGATTCGAATCAATTTTTACCATTTACCAAATCAAAATAAGGGATAGAAGCATCAAATTATATACCTGGCAAAATATTTGACCTATTCTTAGGTAAATTGCATTTTCTTCGGGCTTCCATTAGTTCAAAATCACGAGGCTGTCGATCAATACAGAGCTATATAGAAAACAAAAAATAATTAAAACTTGTCAAAAGAAATCGTAATCAATATGAAAAATAAAACCAACATTAGGATGGATTAAGGAAAAAAGGACAAAAAGAAATTTAAATCGAAGATATGAAGATCAAGATTGTTTGATGTTGTTCGAGTACCTTCCATTTCATTTGAAGAGGGTAGTGGAAGGGATTTGTAAGTTGGTTCCACCAGAGGCTCAACAAGGATTTATGAAGGTCGTAGGGAGGTGCGCCAAGGACCCATTCGCACGAATCTACAATCACAGAT